AATTCTATTTCTCAAACATAACATCTTAAATACTTTGAAATATCCCTTCCATCAAACTTGTCAATTTAATTGACCACTGCTTGCAAAGCTTTGGTTGCTAAAGCTTCTTTGCGATCATTGCTTTGCTATTACTGCATAAATAATGATCAGGCTTAAAACATACTAACAATGGATGGATCCATGTGTATATCTTGTCCTTTGGAAGGAACTCCACCAAAAGCTCTACTTGAAGCTCCTCCCAAAGATCCTTCAAAATTTTAATTCTCGTTCTCCATAAAATAAAATAAAAATAAATGAAATCCAATACCTTCTACCTCAAGCTTTCACGTCGGGTTCACCACTTATGTCGTATTACATACTATCTTACTTGAGAATGCATTGGATGTCTAGCTGTGGAAGATAAAATAATGTTTTACAAGTATTCAGGTAGGCTAGTGGATTTCAACCATCTAAATACAAACTATTTTGGATTTCAATGTAAAAGCTTAATCTCAATATAAAGTACTTAGAAATACTATTTTTAAAAACTTCAAGATATTATAAGCACAAAGTCTTTTGTTATTTATTAGTTATTATTTTTTATTTTATTTTATTTTATTTATTTTTATTTTTATTTTATTTTATTTTATTTTTAACCCTAATCTTGAACGGTGAGCTTTGGCAAGCTGTAATTCTCAATCTGACCGTCCGATTGTTATAAACTTCTACCACTAGCATCTTTGTAAGCCTTCTAAATGCTCAAGAAGTTTTAATCCAATCTAACTTATAGGTTGCAAGAAAATACCGTAAATCTACACTGATGTATCTTGACTGCCGCTTAGAAGTCCTCAACTTATCACGCTAAAAGTCACCTTATTCCAGCTAGTAGATCTCCAGATATTACAGAAACACTAAACAATCTCAATCTGCTAACTTCCGATATCTCTTTACACTAATGGTCAAATATCCTCTATCTGTTCCATCAGATTAACACAAACTTTTGCATGCACTCGGCATACTCAACCCTCTAGACACCTCTAATTTTCAACTGCAGAAGTTTTTCCAATTTCACAAAACGGTCAAGAGTACCAGCCTTAATTTTATTGCATAAAAAATCCAAATCACCAATACAAACACTAACTTTCAGAAACGATTGCAAAAGTCCTCTCAAATCCTATAAAAATCCAATTCTACACCTTTCGGAGGAGCTTGAAGCTAGCTCTCCGACCCCAAAATCTTGATCTTCGAATGCCTCTTTTCTTATCCTCTCCTCCCTTTTAACTCCGTGTGGTCCCATTTTTTCCTGCCTTGGACTCCAAATCGGAACAACCGATCGCGCTTCTCCGAAATTCATATCTCTAAGAGGATCTTTCCACGAAAAGGATGTTTCTCCCAAAACGGGATAGAGAACGAAACAGCTTGAAATGGAACCGAAGCCTCCGTATTCGGGACCTCATTGGATTGCCCAACCAAGTCAGGTCTCATACTAGATAAGAAGCCCATACTAAAACCTGGATTGGATGTCCCTATAATTGGGTCAAATTGGTCCTTCACATCAAACTCACCTGAATATTGAATTGGTCCTTTTTCCTTTTCTTGACTCTTGGTTGTCCCGTTGGTATAGAAAGTACTTGATTTGATGACACTGATGGGGTGACATTAACTGACCCTGAATATTAGCACTAGAATTGGCCACTGTTTCCAACATCCAAGATGATTAAATATTAATAATATCTTTTTTATTTATATTTTCATCATATAGTCATGTTAAAATATGATAGCGGATATGATATTAGTGAATGCACATGATAGCCATCAAAGAATCTTGCAAATGCAACAAAGAAAGTTGAAGCTTTTCATCAACAAATTCCATCACAACCAAGATGAAGAATAGCAAATCTTTGTTATAAAAGAAATAAGATCAAAAGAAGATAATCTTCTACCTTCCATCTTTTTTTATAGCTTATGTGTATTTGTAATGCTAAAGAGATAGAAAACCAACTCTCAACAGATTCAACTCAAGAGCTTTCATTTGTGGATTTACCAGATGTGACATTGTGATTGTCTTAACCTTGAAGATGGAAAAATCAAGATGAAGATCCTAAAGAACAACATGTTCTTCCTCAATTAGATGGCAAAATATGTGTCTAGTATCACGACCTTCAAGGAGACTCTCATTGTTTGGTGATTTTATTAGAGGTAGGTACAATTCTTGACGATACTCTAAATGTTTTATTTGAAGGAAGTGACGAAGGCCTCAACAACGACCAAATAACAAGGTGGTCTTCTCTCCCTGGTATGGGACACTATCAATGGCTAAGAGGGCCTAATAACTATCTTCAAAGAGAGCAAAGATCGGAGTTTGTGGCAAATACAATTTGCCGCATCTTAGACTTCCTCAATTTATGAAGATCGCTCCTCGATGAACTCATCTCTAGAAGGGCGGATAATGTCAAGGACATATATATTTACCTCAATAATTACTTATATGATTAGGTAGAAGTGAATAAATATAGATTAATTTTATAAAATCTTTTAGTAAAACTTTTTAGAAGCTTCATAGATGCAATTTTGACTTTAGATGTGTTTGTAGGTTAGAAACTTGGCCAATAAGTTAACCACATATTGGTAGTTTGTGGAACAAGTTAACTATGTGGTGCATACATAGATAACTTACCTTGCAAGTTAAGACATGTGGCTAGTAAAGTCAACATGTTTTGGAGGTCCTATAGGACATCACCATGTAGCTCCTAGTTAAGAATATGTATGGAGGCAAGAGTAAAGCTTTCTTCACTCTTGTCAATGTTGTTCTAGTCCTTAGTCTTGTTTCAAGACTTTCTAGTCTTCTTGTTTTAGGCAATAGTCATTCTAGATAATACTATATTACCTTTGGAGTGACTTTTTAGTTCTCTTCAGTGACACAAGAGTGAACTGAAGATTTTCTTTTTTTGAGATTTATGTCCCCATCACATAGTAATAAAAAAAACAACTACTATGTATTACTTTGATTTTGAAATAATTTTCCTATAAAAGTAAACAAATTTAATAGTTGATAATATATTGGTATTAGCACAAAATAAATAGATAAATGTGCTACAACATCTAACAATAAATTAATTAATAGATTAACCTTGACAACTTGTTAAAGAATTTTAATAGTAATCATCCATAATAATCTAATAAAATTTCTTTTATATTGATAATTTTCTATAATGATACAAAATAATCAATACATATAAATAGATTTATAAAATCTAAGTCATATGCTTTTCTAAAATTATATGAGTGCACCTTATATTAATTAGAATTGCTATATGTCCACTTGATGGATAATCATTATCTTCAAAGGACATTACAACATTGCCTTATATTATATTATTCTCATTCATATAAGCCATGAGAGTAATTTTAGCTTAATACACTTTAAGAATGTAATTTTATAAGAAAATATATGACTAAAAATATTAAAAAAATCTAAAAAGAAAGAAAGATATATAGAAAGAAAATGATAATAAATAAATAAATAAATAAATAACCTTTTATTTAGCTATATTTTGAACAATTATAAATTTCATATAAGTTTAAAATTAATAAAAAAAATCAAAATAGGAAAAAAAAAAAAAAAAAAAAAACATATTATTTTTATATTCAACATAAGCTCTTAAAAAATCATATTTACAAAACATATTTTTATCAACTTTATGAGCTCTAAAATAATAATATAATCACTGCTTTGTGGCTCTTGCCTCTACATAATGTAAAGGCCACCAAATGCAAAATTCTTTCAGTTTAAAAGTGTGGAGTGACCAACACATTAGGCTTTTAGTTTGGTACATATCCTTATTGAGTTGAATATGATCATATGATGTAGATAACCACTTAAGATGAGATGGGTAACAAATAATCAATTGTGAGGCTTTTCTGTGTAATTGGAATAAATATTGGATGTCTTTTAAGATTATAGAGCCCAAGTTGATAAAACTATAGAATTCATTGAAGTGAGTTGACTGTTCATGAAACAACGGAACGAAACTAACACTATCTAGACCTAGAAGACGTGCTTGCGAGATGTAAAGGTACTGGATTCCTTAGGTTTATCTTTTGAATCCCTACTAAGCATCAGACATACCCAGTTTGAGTCAAAAAAAAAAAAAAAAAAAAAAAAAACGAAGCAAAATGAACAGTTCAACTGCTTTTTGATGGTCAGTCTTCATTAAGTCTTGTCGGAGACAATTGCCTCTGTCGAACCAGGCGCCGAGCCGAGCCATCATGAGACTATTTTGAGAATCAGGATGTCATGTCAGCTCGGGCATAGATACAATTTTCGACTGCCCTGTCACCATTTTTCTAAAGTCAACTGGATTTGACTTCCTCGCAGCAAGTCTCGGTTTTTATGGAATAGAATCCAGTACCTGTCGCGCTCCAATCTCCTCCTCTCCGCCTGTGTTGCTCGCATGTCAGCCGGACCAAATTCATGCGACCAATTGACGTCACTCTGGCCACAAATCAGGGTGATTTGTCGCAAAGTTGCAATCCATGACGGTCTCTCCAAGCATTGTGTGGCTACCACTAGGTGAAGTCACCGCGTACTTGTCAATCATGAAAGCCTCTGGGAGCCAGAAAGTCGACAATCGGTAGGGATAAGAAAACAACAAAACCGCCTTCAGAAACTTTTGGAGACGGCGTACTGTCTTTTCTTCTTATTTCGCTGGTTGATCATCGAAATTTGAAGAGCAGTTTCAAACGATTGTGAGAAGAGCTCTGCCGGGTCAAACTTTCCAACAAATTGGAAGTAAAACATCCAAGAGTTATCGACATCATGTTATTACTATTTTTGTTATTATTATTATTATGATGATCATCATCATCATCATTTTGTTCTCCACACAGGCTGTGGTTGGTATTTCCGTTTCTGGATCTTGATAGCATGATGTCGATGAGATCTTTGTGACGCTCCGATTCCAAAAGAGGAAAAAACTTCGAGCAACTTAAAAAATGAACTGATGCAAGAATGCTAGTGATGCCGTGATATCCGGAGTTCTTTTAACAATATCACCGCTATATCTACCAACAGCGGAGCTCGTGAGCTGCATATCATGGTATAACCCGCTGTTTGACTGATCCTGACGGTGAGCACTGGGGCACTGAGTAGTGGTTGCCTGGAGAATTCCCAGAGCTGCCCGAGCATGCGACGAGCTCGATTCCAGAATCTAGCTCTTCTTTTTGTTTCCAGGTTTGCACTCCTCACCGGATTGCATTTGGTGACCACTTCGTCAAATTTGGTTGTGGATTGAGGGTAGCTTGTTCTGCATTTTAGCTTTGAATCGCTCGTGTCAGCTTGGGTTCGTTTCTTCGTGGGCTGAAATGTTGAACTGGCTCGGCAGGCGTTTCGAATCTGGCTGAAAGACCTTCTGAATGTCCGTGTATCTGTGCACAGGAGCGTAGCGAGGACATACGTTGATTGATTCTGGTCTAGTGGCGGAGATGGGGTCGAGGTTTAGTATTAGAGTTTCGGCATGGCTGGTGCCACTTCTGTGCGCGCTTCAGTTGGTAGCTGGGCAGAATTGTAACAGCACTGTCCAATGCGCCGATGGGAGTCTTTGCTGCAGCCAATACGGTTACTGTGGGAGTACCGATAATTATTGCGTGGCCGGCTGCCAGAATGGTCCCTGTCGCAGCAACCCTACCCCGCCTCCACCGCCTGCCCCGCCGTCGCCTCCCTCTCCGCCACCCCCGCCTAGGCCCTCCGTCCCGCCGTCACCCTCATGTGGAGCCGGCAGGATCATCACGCGAAAGGTGTTTGAGTTGCTCTATCCGAATTACAACAAATCTTTCTATTCTTACGATGCTTTCATTGTGGCCGCCCGTGCTTTCCCCAAGTTTCTGAATGAGGGGAACCACCAAGCTCGTCTCCGTGAGCTCGCCGCCTGGAGCGCCCACATTCAGCAAGAAACCGCTGGTGAGTTTCAATCCGCGGTTCGTGCCACGCTACTAACAGTAACTTCAAAACTCGGCAAAGACCCCAATGCTTGCAACGAAAATATCTAGATAGGTTGATCCAATGTATCCCCCCATCCCCCTAGATCCCGAACTGGGAGACCGTTGCATTCCAGTAGCGGAACTATCACGTCATGAACTTCTGGTGGTCAATGCGTATGACAGGCCTAGTTTACGTCGAGGAGATTGCAAAGTCGAGTGCCTACTGTGATGCCACATCGACGAGGTATCCTTGCGAGCCAAACCAGAAATACTTCGGTCGCGGCCCTCTTCAGATAAGCTGGTACCAATATTGGCACCAACTCAACCCTTTGTTTGCATTTCATTTATCCTAAGACAGGTTTTCGGAGGAGAGTTCCAAACGCCGACTCGTTGTTTGATTTGTGGCAGGAATTACAACTATGGACCTGCTGGTGAAGCTCTTGGCATCGACATCCTGAAGCGACCTTTCCTGGTCTCATTGGACCCCGTGTTGGCCTTCAAAGCCGCCTTGTGGTTCTGGAACATACCCCGAGAAGGCGGCATCCCGTCCATCCACAACGTGATCATCGGCAAATACAAGCGAACACGTGCAGACAAGGCGGCCAACCGCCAGGTCGGATTTGGATACACCATCAACATCATCAACGGCGGCATCGAGTGTGGAAAGGAGACCGCCACCCCTCAAGCAGCAAATCGCGTCAAATATTTCCAAGAGTTCTGCCAAAAGTTACGCGTATCGCCGGGAAGGAACCTGGACTGCACGAACCAGAAATCTTTCGCCTAGACGTCGTCATCTCTGTTTGCATTGATCCATTTGTTGGATACGGGCGCCTCATTATTTAGTTTGAGGCGATGAAAATGAACATGACTGTGCCACATTATTCATTCTTCACCAACATAGATACGCCTAACCTAGTTTCGTCGTAACCATTTTGCACCCTTCATTGGTCGGAACCCTTCACCAAGGGCTGCTCAAATCGCATTGAATGTTTTTAGTGCTGCTAAGCGAGCGCATGTGATCAACGTAAGCGTGACGCTTCAGCTCTCGGATGGTATTGTGTGATGGTGCACTGTCGACGCTGGGAAGTTGGTCAGACACAGAATGAGTTCGTGCAAATCGACTGCGAGCACGAAGCACGATCAATGCAATATTCACCGATCGATCGAGAACTTTGCAATCTCTGAATCGTCTGGACGAGACGCAGACTGAGATCGGATCGACGACTTTTCCTTTCGCTCAACAGTCGCATCTGGACGACGGATCTTGCTCCAGTGCACAACAAGAATTACACGCCAATACATGTACATTTGTGGTGTGTATATATATATATATATATATATATCTAATGGGATCTGATGCTGCAACCTAAACTGGAAACACCGAGTGATTTGAGTGGCATGTTTAAGTATTGAATTTTATCACTTTTCTAAGCGACGCTTTATAAGCTTCGAAGCAAAGTCCATGAAGAGCTTTTGATTGCGAGAAAACTCAGGTTTGTTTTATGATCAACTTCGAGAGCAAGGTAGGTTTTGTTATGATTGTAGACGAGAACAAGCCCTTCTCACGCATGAACAACTGCGAGAAGATGCTTATGGTTGTTTTCTGTCAGGGTTTTTCAATTCTTTAACCTTTAAAATGAAACACTTGGAAACTCAGTAAATTGGCAATAGTTTTTTTTTTTTTAATTTTTTATTTTATTTTTTAGTATCTTTTTTATAAGAATATTAGACATGTTCTGAAAGAAAATTAAAAACTAACACAATTGTTTAAAAAAATATCATTTGTTGAAGTTTGACATAAAGCCCTTTTGTTTCACTACCCAAAATCTTTAATATATTGGACTTAGCATAGATAAAATTCCAAGTTCTTAATTGGCTAGTTTCAAGTTTCTTTCTTCATGGCTAACAATAATATTTTTTTGTCTCTTTATGTTATATCCACGTGCCTAATATATTAGATAGTAAAATGGTCATTATGTAAATTTACATGGTTATAAGAAAATTGGTAAAAAAATATTGCAAAATCTATTTCCATATATATATATATATATATATACATACTGAGAGAGAGAGAGAGAGAGAGAGAGAGAGAGAGCTATAGTGATATATATATATATATATATATATATCTATATATGGTCATGATATTATTTTTTGAAAATAAGTTTTACTATCAATAATAAGCTACAACACCACGAAGCAAAACCAAGTAAGAACCTTAAATCACCCACAAAGCAAGAAACAACGATCAACCGAGACCTTCATTTATCTACTCTTCAACCAAAAGAATTGAGATTGAAGACCATATCTTAGAATAACACATATCCAAAATCCATAAATTCATATATTTCAATCTCAAATCAAGTAAAAAAGGTGTGGGCATGAGACATCGATTCCAATTATATTTAAAGAAATGGATGGCAAAGCTCAATCTTGTTGATATTGCCTATATTAGCTATGCTTCCATCTTTATTTTTCCATCTTTGTAATTTTAGCTTGATAGTATAGTGATGATGTGTCACGGACACAGAATTACAGAGTCAAGATCTAATAAGAAGTTCAAGAAGAACTGGCAAGAACTAGATTAATCAGTTGAATACAAGAACAACACCAAAGAGGTGAGCTAGAGCTTCAAGACATGTGTTGTCGAGACTGAAGAACTCTTCAACCTCCATTCCAATATATACTCCTATTTAGGAAGCTTCTCAAGCAACTTCTACCAACTAGGAAGCTTCTAGAAGGTTCCAGAGACTTGCTTCTAGAAGGTTCTAGAAACTTGTCTTTAGAAGGTTCTAAGGACTATGTCCCTAACATCACTCCCTCTTTTAGCTTCGAGGTCTCTAAGAAGCAATGTTATTGTTAATCAATACCAATGCAAGTAAATGAAGATCTGTCGCATAACGTCTGCTATGAACTCCAATTTTTGTTCACAGGACAAGTAGCTCATTGGCCCTTGAAGCCAACGATAGTGGCCCACTGTTTCGACTTCTGACCAAGCATGAACTTCCGTGTCCTCATTGTGAAATTGTCCTACAAACACGCCTTCTGGCTGACCATCGTAAATAGGCTCGAACTCAAATACAATCACCAATGATCGGTTACTCGGTATCCTCCGTCGTCGTCGTGGTGTAGGCAGTTCTTCATCTTGGGGTCGCCTCCGTGAGCTAATTGGTTGAGATAATCTGAATGGCATAGTATCTATCTCTTGGCTATCCATATCAGAAGACCAAACTATGGCTACTGAAAAAATTCTATTTTATCTTGGAGAAAATAACTACATCAACTACGAATTTTGGTGGTGCTCTCCCCTTTTCATATATTCTTGGGTGAGCAAGCTTCAGAAGGAAGCTATCGTTGAACCGGCTTAGGTTTATGAGGATGTTGTTGATGAAACTCCTGTACCTTTTGCGGCTAATTGGCAAGATTTTCAGCTAGCTCCCACGTTCGCTCATTAATGTCGTAGCCGCACTAATGAACAAGATACTCCAATTTGTCCCACCTTCGCCATGAATCCAACACCTTTTCAACCTCATATTCCTCGTGGTTCTCAATTTCAATACTAGGTGGCGGACATTGCACTCTTCCAGAAAAAGATGACTCTCGATAAGATTCCAATAGAGAAACATGAAAGACTGGATGTACCTTCATAAAAACTGGTAATTCCAAATGGTACACTACTAGATTGATTTATTTTTGGATGATAAATGGTCCCAATCTTTGATAGTCCAATTTATCACGTGGTCGCTTGGTCTTGATATTCCGTCGAAGAAGCCATGCTTTATCTCCAATTTTGAAAGTAGGTGCTTGATTCTAAAATCTATCTGCAGACGCCTTGTAGGATTCTTGAGTGGACTGTAATTGGAGCTTCAATGTATTTTGAAGCTTTGATAGTTGTTTTGCAAATCCTTCAGCTACTGGATTGTTATTTGTTGACGGACTCAATAAATCAAGCTTTGGATGATACCCATAGTTGGAAAAGAATGGTGTGTATAGAGTCGACGCATGGAGGGTGTTGTTATATGCAAATTCGACTAGCGATAGATATGTGGTCCAATCGTCTTGCTGATAGTTGATGCTGCATTGTAAGTATTGTTCCAAGACTTGGTTCACCCATTCCATTTGGCCGTCAGTTTGAGGATGAAAAGCCAAAGAAAGCTTGATATCTACCTTCAGTATTTCAAAGAGAGATTTCCAAAACTTTGATATAAACTGGGTTCCTCGATTTGATATGATATCATCTGACAGTCCATGATATCGATACTTATTATTGAGAAACAGCCTTGATGTGACTTCACTAGACGATATCTTCTTGCAAGGGACAAAGTGTACCATCTTTGTAAGCCAATCTACTATGACAAAGATGCTGTCATATGAGTTCGATGATGGCAGGTCTGTGATGAAGTCCATGGAAATTGAAGACCATGGTCGAAGTGGAATCGACAATGGTTGTAAGAGTCCATAAGCATGATGCCGAGGATTCTTGAATCTTGAACAGATGTCGCAGGTGAGGAAAAAATCTTTCACATCCTTCCACATTTGGAGCCACCAAAAATCTCGAGAAATAAGCTCCAAGGTCTTGTTGAATCCAAAATGTCCCGCAACTAGAAAATCGTGGCGAGATTGAAGAACTCGGAGTCGTGTTGGTCCTTTTGGGATATATAACTGTTCCTCAAAGTATAAAAGATCTTTCTCCACCTTGAACTTGTCGTCATTGGCACGATGTTTAATATCAATGGCTACTAAATCTTCAATGGTCACGGCACGTACTTGATTTAGGAAGTCAGCATCAATTGGCACAATAGTAGCACAAAGCTGAAATTGCTCTAGCTTCAACAATTTTGTACATTGTTGATCAAATGCTGCTTCTCCAACCTCTGGTACAAGATACGATCTCCTCGATAAGACATCAGATAGTCCTTGCTGCTTTCCAGGTCGATAAGTAATAACAAAATCGAACCTAGATAGCAACATACTCCATCGAGCTTGACGTCGATTTAGAACTCAAGCCGATATGAAATATTCCAAATTCTTGTGATCTGTATATATGGTCATTGGCTGTGCAGCTCCTTCAAGAAAGTGACGCCATTCTTGGAAAGAATCCACTATAGCAAGAAGTTTCTTATCGTGGATCTCATAATTGATTTCAGCAGCAGAGAACTTTCGAGAATAGAATGCAACTGGATGGAGATTCTTGTCTTCTCCCGTTTGTAAAAGTACAACTCCCAAAGCAAAATCCGAAGCATCAATTTCTAAATAAAAGGCCTTTGTAAAGTCTAGATGTACTAAGATTGGAGCCGTAGTAAATGTGGTCTTCAGGTCTTGAAACGCCTTCTCCGCTAGAGGTCCCCATTCCAGCTTATCCTTGCATGTCAACCGAGTGAGAGGAGCAGCAACTTGAGAGTAATTCTTGATGAAGATCCGATAGAAGTTGGCAAAACCAAGAAAGCATTGTACGTCTCTAATCGTCTTTGGAACCTCCTAAGATACGATTGCTTCCACCTTCTTGGGGTCCATCTTCAAGCCTTCCATAGTCGCAACAAACCCCCAAAACTCCATCTCTATTTGGTGAAATAAATACTTCTCCAACTTGGCATATAGTCCTCGCTCACGTAATTTCTCCAAGACCAAACGAACGTACTTTTCATGCTCTTCCTCATATTTGGAGAATGTCAAAATATCATCTAAATAGATGACAACAAAATCGTCAAGGTGTTCTCGAAAAATGTCATTCATCATATGTTGAAAGACCGCTGGAGCATTGATAAGACCAAAGGGCATGATATTATACTCAAAATGGCCATACCTTGTACGGAACGTTGTCTTCCATTCATCTCCTTTTTTGATTCGTACGAGGTTGTAAGCTCTCTTTAGATCAATTTTTGTAAAGATCCTTGCACGTCCAAGTTGTTCTAAGAGACCAAAAATCAAAGATAATGGATAAC